AAGATTTGACAGCATTGAAGATATTCAGAAGAACAGACTGCATGCTCTCAAGTGATTCCAGGAGACAGGCTCTAAAGATGGTTTGAGCAATGAAGTGGAATTAGTGCATTGCCTCCCAGGGAAACTGTTTAAAGAAGACAAGTCTCATTTGAATGCATAATTTCTGGTTTAAAAATCTTTTTCTCATTGCACACATATTTTTCTTGGCTGTGAGTTCTTTGAAGGCCAGGATTTTGAGGCATTCAATAAATGTGCTGATGAGTAATGTTGAGTACAAATAGACAAGTATCAGTGGAGACTTTTTTTATAGGGGAGAGAGAGTTGGTTGGAGGAGATTTAGATGGTTTCCTAGGACTCCTGGGGTTCAGCTTGCCAATATGGAGCTTGGAGTTTCTAGTTGCCTTACCTGATTATAGTCCATGCCCATACAAGGTGACTAGAATTTGAGATGAAAGCCTTGACTTAAACTCTGGAGATAGCGTTTTTATAACTGATGATTTGTACTGTGTCCTAATAGGGAGAAAAATCTCTTGGTTATACTAAGACCTAATAGTGACAAAAATGATTGCTAAATGAGATTGTCGCAGCTAAACTAGGTAAAATTCATTATTGGCACATGACTTTCACTTTCCTTATCTTAATGTATTGATATATGAGCAATCTGATGAAGAGACAAGCTTAGGTCCAGAGTGACCCACTCATGACCACACAGTGTTTCTCCAGCCTGGACTCTCTATAGTCCTCCTTAAAAGTGATTTGTTTTTATTTGGATTTTGTGCTTCCTTATATCTAATGGTTAGATGCTCTTACACATTTTTTATCTTAATAAACCAGTTAAAATTGCCACTAAAAGACATTAAATTTTGTCAGTAAGATTCTGCTCAGTGTGAGAGGTTCAGCCCCTTTAACAGTTTGGGACAGTGTCAACAGATCGTCAGTTGGGGTCACTGTCTGAAGTGTTAGAGAGGAACTCACATGGATGTGTCACCCGGAGCATCCATGTGTACATGTGTGTATGTGCATATGCTTGCATGTGTGCTTGCTCCAGTTAAGCCAGCAGCTTTCACTGGAGAAAACTGAAGGGTCTAAAAAGAGTCCAGTTGCATTCTTTAGATTTGCAGAAAACAGATACTAGAACATATATATTCACAGAGTCAGCTCTTTACTAGGTATGTTCCCTCCCTTCCTCCCTCAATTCCTTTTCCTTCCCCACAAAGTGGAGAGAGAGAATTTGAGTCTCAAGCCAAATCTCCATATACATTTTAGAGAGGATACTAACTTTGTGATTTGACCCATGTGACACTACTAAGTGATCACCTGCTATCATTACTAATTCAGATGAGAGTGAAATAAGTCCATTTTAAAGGTATAATTTAAAAAATGGTTGATGCCAGAATATCCAGTGGAACCTTCATTTACTGGTTTGTGGAGAACCAAGAAAAGTTTGTTTTTATACTTGAACTCTGATCTGAGTGTTTCTTGAAAAGTAACACAGAGTCATTTAGGCTTTGACCATGATTTTTTAAAAATAATTTTTTTTTGGTTGCAGTTCATCCCCGGCCCTGGTCAAGTCATGCAGAAGGCAACCAGTTGATGTGTCCCTCTCACATCGATGTTTCTCTCTCTCTCCCCCTTTCCTTCCCTCTCTTTCCTCCCCAGTCTGTCTGAAGATAAATAGAAAAGTATCCTCAGGTGAGGATTAAAAAAAATGGAAAAAAAATTCTTATCACTGAGTTATTGATGCATCATATTCTCTTCTTGCCAATCAGGTTTGCAATTTCCTATTTGATATGCAGTCATTTTTATTCTATTTTTAAAAATCTTACTGCTGAAAATATTACAGATGTCCTTCCTTTTTTCCCCCATTGACACCCTCCTTCCTGCTCCCACCCACCCCTCACCCTCACTGCACTGTTGTCTGTGTTCATTGGTTATGCATATATAAGTACTTTGATTTCAATCTTTTTAACTTTGTTGAGGCTTCTTTTATAGCCCAGAATTCAGTCTCTCTGTGTATACTTGAAAGGAATTTGTATTCTGCTGGTATTGGAAGGAATGCTTTATCAATATCAATTAGGTCATGTTGGTTGGGAGTGTTATTACCATCTTGTATAGCCTTGATACTTCTCTGTTGTGGTCTATCAGTTGCTGAAAGAGAAGTGTTACTTTCTAATAATAATTGTGGATTTTTCTATCCTTACTATCTTAAATATTATTTTTTCTACATGTATATTTTAAGTTTTGTTATTAGGTACAAAAATATTTACAGTTGTTAGATCCTCTTTGACAAGTTGACCTCTTTATCATTATGAACTGCCCCTGTTTGTCTCTGGTAATTTTCTTAGTTCAAAAATATACCTTGTCTTATATTGTGGTAGGCAAAATGTCCCCCAAAGATGTCCAGACCCTAAACCTTGGAACCTTGAATATGATGTTACATGGTAAAGGGGACTTTGCAGATGTATTTAATTTTACAGTATTAGTTTCTATTGCTTCCAGAAGAAATTACCACAGATTTGGTGTCTTAAAACTACACACTCATTATCTCACAGTTCTGTAGTCAGAAGTACAATTAGGGCAAGGCTCAGTTGGATCTTCTGCCTTAGAGTCTCACAAGGTTAAAATCAAGGTGTTGGAATGGTTGTACAGCAGATCCTCAAATAATGTCATTTTGTTATAACTTTGATGAAATGCCTTAAAAACTTAACTCTTGTTTGTATCAATTAGCCTATGGTAAAATTGGTTTTGTTTATGCCTTTTCGCTTAAAGTTGCAGAACCTCTTAACATTAACTGAGGACTTAATATATTCCTTTCTGGAGTCTCTGGAGACTGATCTGTTTCCAGACTCATTCAAGTTGTTAGAATCTAGTTCCTTATATTTGGAGGGCTAAAGACCTTATTCCTTGCTAGCTATCAACCAGGAATCATTCTCAGTTTCTCAAGTCTGCCTATATTCCTTGGCTCATGGACTCCTTCCTCTGTCTTCAAAGCTAACCAAGGCAGGGCAAGTCCTTCTCTTGTTTTAAATCTCTAACTTTACCTTCTACCTCATCTCTCCTCTTCTGCCATATTTCTCTGACTTACTTAAATGCAACCTTCTGCTCTTAAGGGCTTATATAATTATATTAAAGCCACCTGGGTAGTCTGGAATAATCTCCCTCTTTTAAAGTCAGCTGATTAGTAACCATAATTCTATCTACAAAGTTATTTCAGGATAGTGCATAGATTTGTGTTTGATTGAATAACCAGAAGACAGGAATCTTGGGGAACATCTTTAGAATTTCCTGCTTACCATAGTTACAGACTTTAAGATAGGAATAGTGTCATGGATTATTCAGGTAGACCCAGTCTAATCACATGAGCTCTTAAAAGCAAAGAACTTTCACAGGAAGCAGGAGCAATATGGTAGAAAGAAATGTCAGAAGAATTCCAAGCATGAGAAAGATTTGTTATGTTGTTGATATATTGTTGCTGGTTTTGAGATGTAAAGGCCTATGTGCAGGGATCAGAGATAGAGACCTCTAGGATCTAGGGGTGACCCCTAGCAAAGAACCTGGGATTTCAGTCCTACTACCACAAGAAACCAGATTGCCAACAACCTGTATGAAGCAGATCCTTCCCAGAGTCCCCTGATAAGAGCCTAGCCAATTGAAATCTTGATTTCTGCCTTAAACCAACTAAGCCTGTCTGGACTTTGGGCATACACAACTGTGAGATAATAAATTTGTATTATTCTAAGCTTCTAAGTTTGTGGTAATTTGTTACAGCAGCAGAAGACTAAAGCACATTAATGTCGTAACTCCAACTTTCTTTTGGTTAGTGTTTGCTTGGTATAACTTTTACTTTTATTCTACTTATGACTTTATAGATAGATAAAGTGGGTTTCTTATAGATAGCATACAGTTATCTTGCTTTTTAATTTTTATTATTTTTTAAATTTATCTGTATTGTCGAAAGTACTACAGATGACCCCCCTTTTCCTCCATTGACCCCCTCCACTCTGTTCCACCCTGCATCTTGCTTTTTAAATCCAATCTGACAACCTTTGACTGCTAATTGATATTTACATATAATGTGATTGTCGATATGGTTGGGTTTTAATTACTACTTTCTTGCTACAGCCTGGAAACTGCCTATAGGCAGTAAACTGGGACAATAATAGAGTTTACTTTCTTTGTTTTCTTTCTTTCCTTCTGCCACCACGGTCCTTCACTGCTCATTGTCTAAAAACTGTTGTTTTATATATTTTGCTCAGTTACTTGTTTAAGGTGGGAAGAAAAACCCTATTCCTCTTATTACATAAAAAATAAAAATAGAAGTCCTCCAGAATGTAATTTCTAATTAATATTTTAAAGCTATACTCTTCAGGAAGTTCCTTTTATATAGGAGGAGGAAAGAGAGAGAGGAAAATTTATTGTTAAGAAAAGAATACATGTACTAAAATGTTATTATATATGAACATGACAGATGGCAGCCTTTTTAAAGTAGAATCAAATAATTAGTCATTGACAGAATTTGACCATTTCTGAACATGTCAACCTTCTCAAGTCTGTATGTCTTGGTATGGCTAGTTCCTTCTGCTTGGAATGCTTCCTCATCTCACATTTTTTCCTGCCTGTCAGCTTTTCACGTAACCCCTGGACCAAGTTCCAGGGTTATCACCTCTGCTTTCCAGTGCCCCATATTTTCTCTCCTGGGCTCCCATCACACCCTGCTCGATAGCATCATTAGGCACATGTCATACTGTATTATAATGATATGTTTCTGTGTGGACTCCCTCCTGCAGGAAGCCCTGGAAAGCAGGGAACTGCTTTTATCCTTCTTTATGTTTCTTCTATCCCCTAACACAGTATGTCTTCTATATAGAACTTTTTAATAAAATATTATTGAATTAGTGATTCTTTTCATGTACTGAAAAATACTGCTGTTATTACTCACCATTTCAGTATTACATATTTGTAAATGTGAATCCACTTTAATCATTTTACTTTTCTCCTAGTAAATTCCTCATCTATGCCTGTTTGCTGCTATTCTCTGTGCTGCTGGCCCTTCGTCTGGATGGCATTATTCAGTGGAGTTATTGGGCTGTCTTTGCACCAATATGGCTGTGGAAGTTAATGGTCATTGTTGGAGCCTCCGTTGGAACTGGAGTCTGGGCACGCAATCCCCAGTATCGGTAATACTACTTTATAAAACTCATCGGTCTCTATCCTGAGGGAGCAATATCTTGTTTTTCATTTTGAATAAAGTAAGGACTATTTTCTTTTCTACCTATCCAGGGTTTTATTATAACTATATTATAGGCAAACTGAGTTGTGTTCTAAGTTTTTAAAAATTAGTGTTCAACATGTATTTTTCTTGCAAAAGACGTGCTATTTTGGGTGGTTACTTTCAGATTTCAAATTTCTAACATTTATTACTCCAATCACTGAACTTGTTGGGTTCCACTAATTGATATTTAGAAGTTATTTGATCTTTTCTGTCTTCATTCAATTTAAGGTTTTTTTAGAGAAAGGAACGGAAATGTATATGTGTAGTTTAATGTACTGAATATATACATGTGGTTTTTCTAGTGTCACCAATAGTCAAGGAAACATTGTTGGGTCTTCTAGAAATAACCACTGACCTTATTTTCTCTGTGTCCTAAACTCAGTTGTATTTATCTTCATCAAGACACATCATAAATGTTCATCTATATTTTGAATGAAATATTGTAGGCCTTCCAAATGTATTATGAAGCATTTTCCTGATTAGTGGCCTTATTATTTTTCAGTTGTTCATCTGGTAAGTTCATGCATGATATTTAGACAGTTAATTAAACTGATTTTGTTTAAGAACAGTTTTAACTCTTTTGCTCTTCTCTCTTTCATCTGCAGGTGTTAATTCATCCTAATGGAATAGAAAGGAAAATAAAAAGGCATTAATACCTTTTACTTGCATTTTAAAATAGCATCTAACCATAGTTACTGTATTTTCCTGAAATATAACCCACACATATTTATAAAGCTAGAGTTGTTTTTATAGCATTGCATGAAGTGTGATTTACATGGTTTTTAATTAGTTAAGAAATGAGGATCATAAGATTTAAAGGATATTTGTGAGTTTTCAGCAGTAGAAGCAATCAACTTGAATAATCCTGGAAATAGTTTAATTTAAAGTTATGAACAAAAGTTTTTTACACTGTCAGGAAAATAATAAAACTGTGGTATTACTTCTTAGAATATCCTTATATAGTTAAAACTTTAAGTCTGGTTTGGTTGTAATGTTTATTTCTTGTCATGTAGTAGTTTTTATATGTTTGAAATATCACTTATTAAATATTAAGTTTAAGTTAGCTTTTTGCCTGATATTTTCTTTGCTTTTTGTCAAATTTACAAATATGACTCACAGTATCAACATAAGTTGGTATTTTCCCTGGCCTGATTGGTTATTATGGAGACTCTAAACTGAGGCTGTTTTCCTTCTTCTTCTATATCCCTTTTTAGAGCAGAAGGAGAAACATGTGTGGAGTTTAAAGCCATGCTAATTGCGGTGGGCATCCACTTACTCCTGTTGATGTTTGAAGTGCTGGTCTGTGATAGGATTGAGCGAGGCAGCCATTTCTGGCTTCTGGTCTTCATGCCGCTGTTCTTTGTTTCCCCAGTGTCTGTTGCAGCTTGTGTTTGGGGCTTTCGACATGACAGGTCACTGGAGGTAAGATTTTATATATTTAAGAATAATTACTTATTGTAATGTAGATGTTTTGCCCTGTGTTAGGGAGGAATTGATCATTAACTCTAGATCATGGTATATAAGGAAACAAAAGACCATGGAGACAATCACATTGCACTTTCTTGACCTAAAACACTAATTTTTCACCCAGGCCATCAGCTGTCTTCCAGCTTCACATCTTTGCTTGTCTACCTGTTTCAGTCATGCTTTTCATGAGAAATAGAACCAATAAGATAGATGTAGATATAAACATAGATATAAAGAGATTTATTTTAAGGACCTCACTCATTCCAGACAGGATAAGGATCATATTTGAGTTCCTGTTCACTGAACTACACAAAAGCTGCAGGTTCACAGCCCTATACAGATTGGTTCAGGGGAGAATTGGACACTATGGACACTTTGTTTTGAGCTTCATAGGTAAAAAGTGGAAGAAGGAGATGGCATTTGGGTTGGAAGGAAGCTGGAGAGTGGCTTACTGAGGATATGTGAACCTTGAGAAGAAGGTGCTTGTGAAGAGGGAGGGTGATGGAGTGAGGACCCGAGGGAAATAGAGGGAACAGGACCCTAAGCACCAGGAGGAGCTTGACATTGAGCAGGAAGAGTGATTCTGCTGGTGCTGGGTGAACTGTGAAGGCAGAGTACCCCTGAGAGCCCACTTTTACCCTCCCCTCACTTCCCCAGGATTGAACAATCCAGCCACTTGTCTGCACTACCCCCTGTGGATGCCTGTCAGCAGTATTAAAATATCATGAGGGAGTACTGTTAAGAAAAAAAAAATGTCTGAAAAGACTCCTGAGGAAACAGTAATTTGAGCAAGGTTGAGAAACTCTGAATTAGATCCTCCTTTCTCCCCTGCAACCTGTTACCTGGCCATCTCTACATGGTGCCCCTTCCTGCCCCAGGAGTCATTTGAGACCTTTGTCTGTTTTCTCTCATCTCTGCCTGTTCTTCCTCACTTCTGGGGCAGGCCAATCATGCTTGTGCTTCAGTCCTTCTCCCCTTCTTGTTGCTCTAAGCATTTGCTCCTGACCTTATCCACAATTTCTCTGGTAACTTTGGCCTTTCTCATCTGAATGAGAAAAAAAATGACAACAGCAAAACCCTGTCAGTCCTCTGGCTGTTGTGCCTTTTCCTTCCATTCACAGAAAGGTTCCCTGTAACAGTGATGTTCTAACCTCATGCTCCCTACTCAGCCCTTGCACACCCTGAAACTGGCACTGAGCACCCTATGATAAAATCTAGCAGGCCCTTTTATGACTTCATTTTTTTCTGGCGACTGGCCACTCTGCCACTGCAGATTCTCCTGGTCCTTTGACCATTCTGTTCACCTCTGTCTTCAGCTCCATTGCTGTTTCTTAGGGTTCTAGTCTTGAGCATTTTATGTCCTCACTGTGCATACTTCCTCTGAATATCATGTGTACACTTCCTATTTCTACTGCCATTTATGTTCTGTCATCTCCTAAATTCACATTTCTAAACTCAGATTTCTCCTCTAGCTCCAGACTCCATATCCAGCTTCACCCAACTCTATTTCCCATATTGGTAAAGGCACCATTCCTATCCAGTAATCTTACCTTTCTACTTTATGCCTCTCTTGCTTTGCACGTTTTTCTATTGCCTGAGCAAATGAAGTAAAACCAAGCTTTAACAATAATTAGCAAAAGATTACATTAAACAAAATCACTGAGATAAAACATTCTAGATATTGCCCATTTGGTTCAGCACTTCTCAGTTGGGGATGGGGTATGCAGCTGGACTTCAGGATAGGAAATATTTTGTAGGACCTCTCCCCCTTGTCTTTGTGACATCCAGTAGTGCCCTTTATGTGCCTGGCCCCTCCCCAAGGGAGCTGCTGTGACCCAGGTTGAAAAGTACAAAGTTAGATAGGGACTGAGAAGGAGGTTTAAGAAAACTAAAAATTTGTTACTTTGTTTCTTAGAAAGTAAAAGTACATATGTGTGCTAGGATTGCATTGAGTATGAAATGGTATTTTTCTAATGCAGAATTATAGAAAGTTAGTTGTTCATATAGTCACACTCATGGCATTCCTTCCTACAAGAAGAAACATGATGCCAGCAATTGAGCTCCCCCTTGGTTCTTGTGTCCCAGAAGAAGAGTACCTACATTTGCTAAGGGATGTTTGGGGATAGGCTCACACAGAGATGTGAAGGAGAAATCAGTGTTGGCCAGGGTGCCCTATGCAGGTAGGGGAGGAGATGGTATTTTTCAGGCAGAGGGAATAACAACACATATAAAGGCAGAGGCAGGAGAAAGTCTGTCATGTTGAGTGAACTGTGGTGCTTCCAATATGCCTGGAGCACAGTTTTGCAAGCTACAGAGTTTTTGGAGATGAATAGTGGTAATATTTGCACAACAGTATGAAGGTACTGAACTATACAAAGATGGTTAATATGGCAAGTTTTACGTTATATGTATTTTGCCACAATAAAAAATATATGTTTGGAACATAAAGTGGAAAGGAGGATATTGTAGCAGTTGGGGGAAAGGTAGGCTGTGAAGAGGGACTGGGCTCAGTAGGGGCCAGATCTTCAGTCCTCAAAGCATGTGCTAAGCTACCCCAGGCTCCATAGTGAACTCACAGGGGAACCATGAGGTATTGGACATTTTTGAGAGAAAACCAGTGATGGCTAATATCTCTGGGGACACCATATGAACTACTAACTCCAAGTAGTTTATGATTTTATTATTCACATTTCAGTCCTTTTGATAACATCACAGAAGAAGCTGAGTTGTTGGCAGTTTCTGTGATGAGAGGATAGTACTGTGCAAAAATTGGTATGGAGAACAGGTAGCGAGGGTGGAAATGTCTTGAGAAATTGTGTGGTACCCAACAGGTACACCTATCCCCTTCGCAATTAGTTGTGCTTATTTAAGAATGAAATAAAAAAAATTTTTCTTTTGGTTTATGTGAGGTTTTTTTTAGATGGCTACTTAGTACTCAAATACTAAGTTAAGATCTAATTACTTAAATAAATGGAACTGTTAGATACTTTTTTTTTTTTTTTTTTTGGCCCAGAGACCTACGAAAGAATTTCTGATTCACTAAATGTCCTATGAACTAAGACAGTTTGAGAGGCTCTGGCCCAGATCCAGTGGCCTTATTTGAATTTACTTCTGTAGCCACTGGCAAGCCATTGAAGAGCAGTGAGCACTGCAAGCAGAAGGCAGACAGTCTGGAGGGCATGGGCAGGCCTGAGGGCCTTCAGGATTGGAGTCTGGGAAGCTTGTCAGAGGGCTATTGGAGTGCTTTGGGGGGTTAGAAATGAAGAGGGCCTAACTAGGCAATAACACTTGGAATAGAGAGCAGCCAGGGCATTCAAGAATAGTCTGGATGGTAGAGAAGGCAGGATGTGGTGAAAGAATATGAGAAACTGGGAAAGGAATATGGAGTGCTTTCTGGCATCATGGTTTGGGTAATAAGGCCACCGTGGTACCTTATAATGAGATGGAAGGCTATCAAAAGGGGTGGGACAGGGTAAAGTGGTAAAGATATGGTGAATAATGAACTCATTTTGGGACTGGCTTCATCTGAGGTGCCTCAAGGAGAGCTGGGTCCATGCCCAAAGGCTAGATTGAATACAGAGATTAGAGGACCAACCAACCGGAGGTATTGCAAACCAGGGGTGTGGATGACATTTCTTCCCCAGGGCAGAGCAAGTGAGTGAAAGCATGTGTGTTTGGATTTATGTCTCTATAGTGGGGAGAGAAGACTGAGTTTAAGGCTCTGGGAAGCACCACCATTTAAGGAGAGGAAAAGGAGGCTGAAAACTGTCAGAGTACCAAGAAGAGGGCTAGACTGTGCATGGGAAATTTAGAAGGAGGAAGGGGTGGTCAGCAATATCAGAGCTGCAGAGATGACCAATAGGATGCAAATTGAAGTGATCTGATGCTGCAGAGGTTATTAGTGACCTTGATGAAAACAGTTTCTGGGTGGTCATGGAGATGGAGACCAGATCACAGTGTGCAGAGCTTAGAATGGCAGGGGAGACCATGGGGCTTAAGTGTCTATGATGACAAACCTTGATGGTCACGGAAAAAGAAAGCTAGAGCTAAGAGGGCATACTGAATCAAGGGATGGGTGAGTTCATTTGGTCTTTGGGTTGTTTTTGTATGTAATGGGAATGAGTTGAACTTGTTTCTGTGTTTCTGGAAAGATCAGTGGAATAGGCGACATTAAAGATGCAGTAAAGTATTTATAATTGATGTCTTGATGTGACAGGTACTCGAGGAGCCAGATAAAAAGGGATAGATGCAAGACTGAGTCCTGTGTACAGGAAGGATATACAGGGACGGTTAGGAATAGAGTTGTTTGTGGATATGGGGCAGGAAGGCAGCTTAGGGCATCCAGTTGATTGTGTCTGTACTCAGCAAGCCTGGAAACAAGGTTATTGCCTGGGCAAGCATAAAAGGCAGGACGGTCGGTCACTGAGCAGAGGGGCTGAGGCAGGAGGCCAGCGGCAAGCTTCTCCTTGGCACAACACTGCTTTCCTTCTATGGTGTTGAAAATCTGGCAGTCTCCGTGTAACGTTAATAAACTGTTTACTGTATTGTAATTTGCATTGCCTTTTATTATGTTAGCCAAATAATTGCAGTCTAGAATACAACTTTTATTTTATTTAACTGATTCTTCTCTTTATTTTTAGTTAGAAATCCTGTGTTCTGTCAACATTCTCCAATTTATATTCATTGCCTTAAGACTGGACAAGATCATCCACTGGCCCTGGCTTGTATGTAACTTTTTAAATCCTTAAATAAATTTTGTATTATAAAAGTAATTTGTGTTCATTGTAGAAAACTTGGAAAAGACAGATAAGCATAGGTAATCAAATAATAATCACCCATAATCTACTGGGAGATAAGATGTTTAGAGTATTTTGTTTTCTTGTTTTGTGGTTTATTGTTTCATAAAAATAGTTGAGAGCATACCACATATATACTTTTGTATCCTGCTTTTTTGTTCTAATGTTGTATTATAAACATTTTCCCATGTCAACAAAAGGTCTTTAAAAACATAACTGTTAAAGTTTAATTGATGAAAAATATTCTTTAAATGCATTTATCAAACCATCCCCTTATTTCTGAATATTGAGGTTACCAGTGTTTTACAATTTCAAATCATTTTGCACCATATATTTTTGGGCTTAAAATATTTGCCTGATTTTTTCCATGTTTTCTTATGAAAGACTTCAGAAACAGTATTACTAGGCCAGAAGGTGGGAACTTTTTTGAGATTTTGAAATATAAACGGCACTGCTAATTTGCTTTTCAAAAAAGCTGTGCCAATTTATACTCCTGCCAAGGGTGAGGTCTGAGTCATGCTTGTAACCTGTGGCTTCAATTAATGTGTATTTGGTTAATATTAACTGTTCATAGATAGATAGAAGGATGGATGGATGGATGAATGGGTGGATGGATGAATACATTCATACATATATATGGTAAGCTACAAATTAGAGAATACACTATGGTTTCAACTATTAATGCTTAGAAAGAAGATGAGAATAAAGGTAGAAGAGCTCCATTGAATCTGGGAGGTGGTCATGCTGGTATTTTTCCCCCTGCTGCTTGATGTATATTTTTGCTCAGAAGATATTTTCTGTAATACACATGGTTTACCTAAAAAAAAAAAAGAAAGTAAGAAAATAAAGAAAACATATTTATTGGTGACAGGGAAGAAAATATGGGAACATATGATGCCTTCACAATAACTAAAGACAAGGCTTATCACTTCCGCCCAAAGTCTTTGATAAAATATTCATAATAGGAAATTTGTCCAGGTACCCATACTACATCTTCAGAGTGCTGTATTTGGAGAACAGTAAATGGGTTTCAGACTTTGTTGTGACATGGAGGAAGCAAATCTTGATAGGACCAAAGTTTAAGTTTAAGATAAATTTGAAAAAAAAAATAGTTGTCAATGTTTTCTGTAGCTAAACAGAGAGTTTTTTCTGCCCAATCCTGTGCAGCTCCTACAATGATCAAGAAAGACCAAATGAGGTGTTTGGACCACTAACATTTCACCCCTGGGGAGCATGTCACTAAATGAGAGTCTGATAACAGGGAATAGGCTGTGCATAGACTTTACATCAAAACCTCTGATCAGGAACTCCAGGCTACTGAAGAGGACTAAAAATCATACATCAACTTAAGTCATTGGTCTAAAAAATAAAATATAGTCCTGGCCAGTTTGGCTCAGCGGTTAGAGTGTCGACCTGTGGTCCAGAGAGACCCGGGTTCGGTTCCCACTAAGGGCACGTACCTTGGTTGCAGTTTGTCCCTGGCCCTGGTTGGGTTGTGCGGATGGCAGCCACTCGATGTGCCCCTTTCACGTCGATGTTTCTCTCTTTCTCTTTCTCTCCTTCCCACTCTATCTGAATAAAAATGGGAAAATGTCCTTGGGTGAGGATAAAAAATATGTGTGTGTGTGTGTGTGTGTATATATATATATATATACCCAAAGAACTCTTAGAAGAAAACATAGGAAAAAAATCTTTGGGACTTGTAGTTAGGTGAAGAGTTATGGAACTGACACCAACAACATGGTTCATAAAAAAAAGCTCAAAGTGAAATGAAATTAATGAAAAAACTGACCACACACTAGGAGAAAATATTTGTAAAGCATATGTCTGACCAAGAACTTGTATCCAAAACATCTAAAGAACTGTCAAAACTTAAAAATAAAAACCAAACCTAATTCAAAAAATGACAAAAGACTTGAATAGACCATTCACAAAAAGGATATGCATATACTGAATAAACACATAGAAAGGACACTGTTACCCATTAGGGAAAGGCAATAAAAACCAGGATGAAGTACCACAACACACATATCAGAATGGCAAAGATAACACAACACTAAGTGCTGAGTAGAATGCAGAGGCACATGGACACTCCCACATTAGTGGGGAGAATGCCAAATTGTATAGGCACTCTGGAAAATGGCTTGACAATTTCTTATAAAGTTAAACCCGGAGTTACCATGTGACTCAGCAGTGCAATCCTGGGTATTTCACTCAAAGAAGTGAAAATGTACAGCCATACAAAATTCTACCCACCAGTGTTTATTGCAGCTCTATTTGTGATAGCCAAAAGTGGGAAAACATTCAAATCTAACATGGGTAACTGGATAAATAGCGGAACACAACTCAGTAATGAAAAGAAATGACCTGTTGATACACACAACAACTTGGATGAATTTCAGAGACATTCTGCTCATTGAGAGAAGGGAGTCTCAGAAGGTGACATGTGTATGATCATCTGCAGGATGTTCTTGAAAAGATAAAACTGTAGTGATAGAGAACAGATCAGTGGTTACCATGGGTTATGGGTGGGGTAAGGGCGTCACACAGTGAAGAGACAGCATGAGGGAGCCTTTGGAGTCAAGGAGCTATCCTGTATCCTACCTGGGGCTATGTAGATTTACATCTACATATGTGAAATGTCATAGAACTTTGCACCAAAGAAAACAAGTTGAGGGCTAACAGATGTGTCCAAGGGGAAAGTACATGCAGAGAAGAGATCATGAGGCCCCCAGGACTTAGCCTATGGGCTTGTATGGGCATTAAACAAGGTCTTTGTGGTACGATAGCAACAGACATAGAACCTATGTGGGAGAGGTGGCAGGGACCAGGTAGCAGAGCCCTCCTAGCATCAGTGTGCAAGTTGAAGGGCCTGTGCACCCTGAGTAGCCAAAGATTTCAGAGCACATTCCCCAGTCTTTGGCCAGAGTACCTATGGCAGGATGGAGAAATGGCCTGTGAAGAGGGTACATTAGGGTGAGATGGGGTGAGTGTGCTTGGGGTGGCAACACTGTCCTGTTTCCCTGGGGATTGGGGAAGAGGATGATTCTGGCAGAGCAGATGCAGACTCAGTTAGATCATACCTTAGGAAAAGCAGCTGCAAGGCTCTTCACCCCAAGAATGACACATGGTGGAACACTTCCAGGGCAGGCAGCTGGTCCTACAGTGAGCACACTGTGTGTCCTCATAGCATTCCTGGCACATAAGGCTGTCCTTGTTCATGCTTGCACTGTCTTCACAGATATCCAGCAAGTGGTTGGCTATGCCACCCCCCCCGATTCTAGGGCAGAAACTAGAATATTGTAAAGACATTTTGTTTTGTTTTATTTTGTTTTGTTTTTGGTACATGCCCCTAGCGGGAACTGAACCTGGGACTCTCTGTTCCGTAGGCCAATGCTCCAGCCACTGAGACAAACCATCCAGGGCTGTAAAGACATTTTTTTCCTCTCCTTACCTCAGGTTGTGTGTGTCCCCCTGTGGATTCTCATGTCCTTTTTGTGCCTGGTGGTTCTCTATTACATTGTGTGGTCTGTCCTCTTCCTCCGATCCATGGATGTGATTGCAGAACAGCGAAGGACACATATAACAATGGCACTGAGCTGGATGACCATTGTCGTGCCTCTCCTTACATTTGAGGTAAGCTTTCAACAACAGAACTTCTGAGGCCTAGAGGCCACCCTTTTCTATGACAGCACCCTTTGAACTTTTAAGGGCAGTCCACTCTCTCTCTGGAAGTCACTATGAGCTAATTCTTGGAGACCATGCCAAGAGAGAATGACAGTAAAATTGTAATGTTGTTTCTTTGAGGAGGGCTGGGCACTGGCAGTGAGAAATGTACCTTTCTAGGTATGATGCATCTGTATGCATCGATATGTCTACTTCTAGAAAGAGAGTTGGATTTTGTATTTCATGTGTGAGTTCTCTGGACAGTTATGAGATGGGCACTGTTGACTCTTCAAAACTAGCACCAGGAGGAGTGCCCCATAACAACCTGGTATTGGATACTTTGCAGGTGGATGTATTTTGTTTCTGTCAAGGTAGAGGGTTTCTGTGGTCCCCTGAGGAGCTTACTTTCCTCTTCTGAGACCTGGTGAGGGAGGAATGCTCTGGCTTTAAACATTGTCCTTTTTTCAGATGCTGTATTCAAGAACCTCAACTGTTTCTCTTTCCTTAGATCCTGCTAGTTCACAAACTGGATGGTCACAATGCATTCTCCTGTATCCCAATATTTGTCCCCCTTTGGCTTTCCTTGATCACTCTGATGGCAACCACATTTGGACAGAAGGGAGGAAACCACTGTATGTACTCAGCATTTCAGAAATCCTTGACCTATTTGTGTGTGTGTGTGCGTGTGTGCGTGTGTGTGTGTGTGTGTGTGTGTGTGTGTGTTGTGTATGGGCATGCATGTGCGGCCTTGCTCTATGAAAGAATGAACCTGAAGGCACCAGTTAAGGAGTTTGCATGGGAAAGCTAGTGCTGAGGAAGGTCTGGAATCTTTCAAGGAAAGGGCATGCTATCAACCTTGCTTTTGCTGCCCTGCACCATGGCCTTCCTAGCAGTACACTACAGCTTGAGGTAGGACTGACCATGATAGGTAGCCTGTCTGAGCCCCATCCCATTCACTGCAACATGGGAATCAAGGTACCTCCTTCTCAGGAGATCCTGAGGATTAGATGAAAATCCATATTGTCCATTGGACCCTAAGGATACCTCCTAGGTTCTATTACCTCCTTGCTATCCCCGGGGTCATTTCCTGATGTCACCAGGTCTTGTCAGTGTACCCTGCTCATCCACTCTTCCTCTTCAGCTATATGCTGTGATACCCAGGTTTGAAGTGATCTATGAAGAGGGTCCCTTCCTCACTGGACTGTGAGCTATTTTACATGTAGCCCCTGAACATGTCCTCTGGAAGCCAATGAGGGAGGATGTTGTGCCCCAGGAGAGCCAGCTCTGCTCTGATGTTCTTGTGGTACACAGACAGGAAGAGCAGCCATCAAAGAAGTAGCTTTGAGGTGGCCCCATGAGCTTTCCTTGGATGCCAGTCTTTGTCATATGTGAGTTTGTCCTGCATAAGGAAGATTAGAGAATGTGCACAGAGTCTAGACTCCACAGGTATTTGAGACTCACTAGGGCAAGTACTCAAATTGAAGTACCCATCAGAATCCCCGCAGGGCCTGTATGAGCAGACTCACCCTCCAGTTCTGATTCAGAAGGTCTTGATTAGGCCAAGATTGTAACCCTACCAAGACCCCAGGGGCACTATCACAGCTGGTCTGGGAGTCCCACTTGGAGAACCATGAAGCTCAGATTTTACTTCTTGTCCTAAGTGAGTATTTACACCTTGCTCAGTCGTAATTTTTAAAACATCAGGACAGAACTTCTCATTCAGGATGGAATAATAATTTGAAATTCAGTGCAGGCTAGTATTTGAAAAAGTATATTCTTTTTTTTTTTTCAGGGTGGTTTGGTATTCGCAAGGATTTCTGTCAGTTTCTTCTTGAAATCTTCCCATTTTTGAGAGAATATGGAAACATTTCCTATGACCTTCATCATGAAGATAATGAGGAAACTGAAGAAACCCCAGTTCCAGAACCTCCTAAAATCGCTCCTCTGTTTCGAAAGAAGACCAGGGTAGTTATCACCCAGAGCCCTGGGAAGTACATCCTCCCACCTCCCAAATTAAACATTGAAATGCCAGATTAGACACCTCTTCCTGGGGCAGAATGCAAGTGCACCGGGTCGCATGCACTCCTCTACCTTCCTCTGCCTCTTTGTTCACCCTCCAGAACTGGAACTGGAGCTGGGGCTCCAGGTACTTCCATCTCATGCCTTGTTTGCACTCAATGCCTGCCAGTGACTCACCACAATGGGACACACAAATGGCAGGTGACTGGAACATGTGGTGTGGTTTGGGGTGTGTCAGCGGATGTGGATGTATTGGAGGGAGTGTGTGTGAGAGGGAGTGATCAAGCTGCTTCAGACCCATTGGCCATTGGCTGATTAGGCCAGAGAAGTTACATCTACAGAGCTGGTTTTCAAAATGCTAAAATTCCTATCAAAATTGTTATTTGAAAATGTATTTTTAAACCTGGCCAGCCTCACCACTTATCTTAGATTCTCCTGTTGTGGCATAATCAGCAGGAACTGTAAATAGGCCTTTCTAACCCCATGTGTGTATCCACACAGTCATTACTGTTCGTGTTCCTGCTATGGAAGTAGTTTCTCCTTGGGCATGCTGACAGTAGTTTTTTAATGACCCTATCGGTGAGCCCTTTCTAATGGAGTGACTCTGTGCTTGTATAGTATTTATACAAATATTTTAGCATTGTAATATACCATGTTAAATCCTAGTTCTGTACAGTATATTCTGTTAAAGTATTTTTTTACAAGCTTGTATGGGAGACATACATGTTCTGTTGCAGAAGTAGACATCGGTGGCATACCTGTCACACCAACTGTGGTGCAACCCCTTAACAGGACATCACCATTTCCCCTTGAATTTCTCTACATACATAGTAGCTGCTACTGCCAAAACAGCTACAATAAGCAAGAAATAGTCTGTGCTTTTCTAACATTCTGGGAATATTGGCTTGTTGGAAAACTGTAAAGCACAACTTGAAACTAGAACACTGGTGGAAATTTCTGAGACTAGGAAAAGCTAGTGCAATTGTGTATATGAGAAGATCTGAGGCTTTTTGTCTGCCTTCAACAAGAATGCTTCTGGCTGGGCCTGTGCTTTTAACTAGGAGGACAGTTTCTTCAAGAGCTGGTGGCGAAGCCATGAATCAAAGGGGAAGAAAGCAGATCCTACAGGTAACAATCTTCTGCCTGGGAACAAGTAGACCATTTTTTAAAGGAGGGTAAAAAGAGCACTGGAATTCTCATCCAGGAAAAGACTGGAGGGATTAAGGCAGGCATCTGCTAACTTGTCTAAAGCAGGCTCTACTGATATCCACTGTATACATGACTCCAGCCTGGCCCTGGCTTCCAGCCAAACTGTTCTGTCTGGGGGGAAAGGGAGACATTGGAAATGGTGCAGCCTTTCCTGCTTGGTGTGTAACAAATGTAGATTAGTCCACTATTTTTGCTTCCTTTAGCTGTTCAATAAACTGGTTCCTCATTTTCCATGCACTCTGTGTGGGTATTGCTTTAGAAATGGTCCAGGACAATGGGATTGTTCTGAGCCAGAGGGGAAGGAAACTGATAGCTGCCACAGGTGGATGAATGTCCCTAATGAGTCTTCAGGTATAGTGTGAATGCAGTTCTGCAATTGTTACGGCTCTGAAGTCTTACAAAAGTGTTTTGGAGTTCCAAGACATTCTAAAGCTGAAACCGGCTATTTAGTAGTCCTAAGGCATTGCCTGGCCACATCAGCAGCTGAGTATTGTTTATGAAGAAATGAAATACTCTTTGATTTCTGTCTAGCTCACCATAACTGCCTGTACAGTTTAATGGACATTTAAATCAGGTGGCATTTCTGCCCATGCTGGTGACAGATTATTTCCTACAGTAGCCAAAGGCCACAGATGTATCATTTTGAAAGCTCATTAGATTTCAGACTTGCTATTAGACAAAACACCCTTTTTGGTAATAACAGTGGCTATGATTTAATTGTTAGGTAACTTGATACCTAATATGCATCCCATTGAATCTTCAGGACCCCATGAAGCATGTGCAACTACTATTATCCCCATGAGAAAATGAAGCCTCAGAGAGGTCAAGTAACAGGCCCAGAGTCAGGGCCAAGATGCCAGTGTTCTCCAGCTAACGGTAGAATCTCCATGACATTCCTCTTTTTTTTTTTTTTTTTTTTTTTAAATCCTCACCTGAGGACATTTTTCTATTTTTTTGTTCAGGTAGAGTGGGAGGGAGAGAGAGGAACAGAGAGAGAGAGAGAAACATCAATGTGAAAGGAACACATCGAGTGGCTGCCACCCGCACGACCAACCAGGGCCGGGGACAAACTGCAACCGAGGTACGTGCCCTTAGCGGGAACCGAACCCGGGTCTCTCCGGACCGCAGGCCGACGCTCTAACCTCTGAGCCAAACTGGCCAGGGCCATGACATTCCTCTTTCCCTCTCACATGCTACACGTGAGAATGTACCCAAAGACTCATTAGGGATGTACACTCACCCCGCATGCCATGGCCACCTGTAGCAGCTGATGGTTTCCTTTGAGGAAAAGAAAGAAACAACTGTGAGAGAAGAGAGGGCAGTGCCCTCTAAGTCCTTAGCATAATCTGACTCAGATCTCAGTTGTGAGTAGGTGAAGTTGTCTTGGTGGTCCTCACCTAGACTCAGCAGGACTACACTCTCTGCTATTTGAATCTGTACCCCTCTTACCAAGTTCACTGAGGAGGTGGAGGCAGGGATTGCTTAGCCTGACAACCCTGCCCAGGGTTCCCCAGAGCCAACAGTAGCACCTGGAGTTGGTTTCTGTGGGTCCTGTATGTTGAGGCAGGTGGACTCTTCAGTCCTCACTCAGGAGGGTCCTCACAACACTTGCATAGATCACTGCAGTACCAAGTCAGATGCTAGAGGGGGTGCTGCAGTACGCGTGACTTGGGAGAAGGGCAGAGAAGACATCCCCCTTCCCATGACTTTTCTTCACCAGCTCAGCTGACATTTTGGAAACTGTGCGCTCTAAAGGTTAGTTATTACTGAAGAGGCTGAGCAGCAGCAGGAATATGAAGAGGTCCTCTGGGTTTGTGGTTGTTGTCTAACTTTGCCTTGTGGACTGTAAGGATTTTCTCTTTTAATCTTCATTCATAATAAGTAATACATTTTCCATCTCTACCTAGTGTGTGTGTACATTATTTATATATAACGTAAATGTAGGTTAGATATGCTTATATACCCACATATGTACATACCATGTACATAAACATATATTTAGGCATGTATGTTTATGTCATATAGATTTATAGATAATACACTATGTTATTTTATTTAAGAATATCTATTTATTTAGGAATACATGAGTCACATGCCACAATCATCCCATCTTTCCTGCTGTCCAGCTATTGCCCCAGGACTACTGGCATATGTTGTATGAGGGCCTCAGATTTGTGCAGTGAAGTACAGACAGAAGTTTAAAATCTTTTATTCTACCCATCCTGTCATCTGCATCATGTAGCCCCTCCAAACTTGCCTTTTGCCCCATGTCCCCACTCCACATCTCACCATAGTCTTCAGTCTCCTCCAAGGCTTTTTCATGTTTTGTTATTTATATTTTGCTATTCATATTGTGTGTTTTTTTTAAGACTTCTTTTTTTAGAGCACTTTTAAGTGCGCAGAAAAACGGAAGGTGCAGAGATTTCCCAGTAACCCCTTGCCACCATACATGCATAGCTTCATCCATTATCAATGTCCCCCACCAGAGTGGTACTTTTGTAACAACTGATGAGTCTACATTGATATCTCACCTTCATCCACAGTCCATAGTTTACATTAGGGTTCACTCTTGTTGTACATTGTATGGGTTTGGACAAATATATAATAGCATGTATCCATTATTATAGTATCCTACAGTGTTTTCACTGCCCTAAAAATCCTCTTTGCTCTGTCTATTCATTCTGTCCCCTCACAATCCCTAGCAATCACTGATATTTTTACTGTCTCCATAATATTGCGTTTACAGAATATTATATAGTTGAAATCATACAGTGTTTAAACTTTTCAGATTAGCTTTTTCCACTTAGTAATATACATTTAAGTTTTTCCAGATACAGTTGGCCCTCGTTTATCGCGGTTAATCAGTTCCAGACACTACCACGATAAATGAATTTCCGCGAAGGATTCTTTATACAGTCGTCCCTCGTCAACCGCGATAGAGTGAAGCCACGAAAGTCGAAGCACGAAGTGGCAAGGGACAACTGTATTCTCATGGCTCGATAGATAGCTTCTTTCTTTTTTTCTTGGTATATGCCCCTAGCGGGAACCGAACCCGGGACTCTCTGGGCAGCAGGTAGATGCTCCAACCGCTGAGCAGAACCAGCCAGGGCGCAATAGCTTATTTTTTGGGGCTGAATATTATTCCCTTATCTGGATTGCCACAGTTTATTTATCCATTCACCTACTGAAAGACATCTTGGTTGCTTCTGTTTTATAAATTATTAGTAAAGTTACTATAAATATCTATGTAGTTTTTTGTGTGGACATAAGTTTACAGCTCCTTTGGGCAAATACCCATGTGATTGCTGGATCATATGGTAAGAATATGCTTCGTTTTGTAAGTAACTGCCAAACTGTCTTCCAAAGTTGCTGTACCATTTCGCATTCCCACCAGAAATGAATATGATTTCCTACTTCTCCACAGCCTCATCAGCATCTGGTATTGTCACTGTATCAGATATTGACCAGCCTAATAATTACATTGTGTGTGTGCCTAAATTCGTTCTCTCTTCTATAGTTTTCCATTATTGACTTTGGGAGTGGAAGACAGAAGGCTGAGCTTGTCATCATGGAATATATGGGTAAGACACTAAATCTGTAAATAGGCAAAATTGATATCTGCAATAATTTACTCTCTCAATGAGTATTAGCATATTGTTCCATTTTGGAGGACTTTTAACTGAAATTATCAGTAAACTTGTATAGTTGCATTCATAAGGATTTTGTATGTGTTTGTTAGGCCTCTTAAATTTTGGATTTTGTTGCTGTTGTAAATGACTATTTTCTATTACATATTCTAAATCATTTCCTTTTTTGTTTGGGAAGGATCTTGATTTTGCTGTGGTAATCTTCTATCATCTATTTTTCTGAAATCTCTTTCATTTGAACATTTTATGTGCCCATTACTTTCAGTTTTCTTAGGTAATCAGCTTGTCACACCAGATATTAACTCATTCCTTTCATTACTCATACCTTTTCTTTTTCTTTATTTTTTATTTAATTAATTAATTTATTTTTGTTACAGATGTTTCTCCTTTACCCCCCTGATTTCCTCCTCCCCCTACCCCACCCTGTCCCCAGCTTTGTTGTCCATGTCCATTGTTCATGCACACATGCATATAAGTTCTGTGGTTTATCTCTCCCCCACCAACCCGTCTTCTGGGGTTATCAGTCTATACCCCACTTCCACGTCTCTGGGACTACCCATTCCTCAGACTGTTATGTTCATTATATTCCGCAAATAAGTGAGATCATATGATACTTGTCTTTCTCTGTTTGGCTTGCTTTGATTAGGAAGATACTTTCCAGGTCCCTCAATGTTGTCTCAAAGGATAAGAGATCTTTCTTTCTTACAGCTGCATAGTACTCCATTGTGTATGTGTACCACTGCTTTTTTATCCATTCGTTTACTGATGGACATTTGAGCAGTTTCCAGATCTTAGCTATTGTAAATAGTGCTGCTACAAACATGGGGGTACATATATTCTTTCTGATTGGTGTTTCAGGGTTCTTGGGGTATATTCCTAGAAGTGGAATCACTGGGTGAAATGGAAATTCAATTTTTAATTTTTTGAGATAACACCATAGTGCTTTTCATAGTGGCTGCACAAGTCTGCATTCCTACCAGCAGTGTACTAGAGTCCCCTTTTCTCCACACCCTCGCCAACACTTGTTGTTTGATGATTCAAATATATTCTCTAACCCTTGCTCATTTTCTTCTTCTACAGAGACTCCTATGATGCGAATGTTATTACGTTTCCAGTTGTCCCACAGTTCTCTTAAGCTGTCTTCCTGTTTTGTAATTGTTGTTTTCCTTTGGTTTTCTGATTGGTTGATTTTTTCTACCCTGTCTTTTAATCCACTGATCTTGTCCTCTGCTTCCTCTACTCTGATGTTTTGACTTTCCAATGTGTTCTTCATTTCTAATATGGAGTTCTTTATTTATTCTTGGTGGTTTTTAATTTCCAACTTGTTGATTTTCAACATTTCTATGTCTTTACTCATGAGCTCATGTCCTTACACATTCTGTTGAGCTTCCTCAATATCATGGCTCTGAATTCTATTTCTGTTAACTTGCTTAACTGCACCTCATTTATTTCATCTTTGGTAGAGGTCTTTTGTTCTTTCATTTGGCTTTTGTTTCTGTGTTTCATCATTTTGGCTATCACAGTGGGCCTTGGAGCCTGCCAAATTTTCCCTTGGGTGTTAGTATTCTTTTGTTTGTGGCTCCCTCTCCTGGGTTTGAATGAGGGAGGGAAGACCCACGTTAAACACCACTGCCAAGTCTTACTTTTCTGGTTAGAGTTGCTAGCCCAGGAATGGTACATTTAT